TTGGTGGTTCTTGTGGTAGACATCGTTCAATTCCTTTTCGTATTGAGTGTATTTACTCCAGGTGTTGTAATCGAATTTCTCAGCTTGATAAATCAATTTGCTGTTGAGGAAATATTGTGGGAAGATTTCGTAGATGGATGGCAACATCAAACCCTTGAAATCATCGCGATGGATGACAGCCAAAGTCAAAGCATAGACGAACATGCCTTCGTTGACATGGATGCGAGCCCATGCGACGTTGGCTTGGAACGTTTCCCAATCCTTGGCGTAGTAGAAGAAGTTGAATAAACCGTAAGCTTGCTTGTGGTGAGTCTTAACGAGTGCACCAAAGAATTCACCTCTGGGCAAGAGTGCGCCCATTTTATAGGATTCGTAGAACATCTCCATATATTGATCAAAGTGCTAGAAATGCAGAGTGTGTATATATGTATAATATTAGTTTCATGATGGGGAGACGTAAAGCGACAATTAATTGAAACTTACGGTGTAAAGTGCCTTGTCGTAGACCAAAGTGTGACCCATCTTGATGTACTCCTCGAACATCAGTGGATCCTCCACGCGGTAAACGATTTCGAAGAGGAACTTCTGTTTCTCCAAGAAAGCATGATCGGCTACGGTAACCTTGGTGGGCGAAGAAACGCTAGTGGCGGCCACTAGGCCAACGAGGGCCAATAGAACGATAGTTAACTTCATTGCTACAACTGCTCCGGATTAGATACTCAGCTCCAATGCCTAAAGACTGTTGATGTTTCGACAACTTGGCAGCCTTTTTATACCAATTCACTTATCATTAGCGTAAAGTTCTTGCTTATTGTCTGTTCTTGTATATTTCCATTGCAATTCTACTTGACCTTTTATGACCGTGATAGTGATCTAACACGTCGCATTATAAACATATTATTCATATGTATTTTGAAGTTGATAAAAATATGTTTAGGCTTAAGCTAATTTTCTCTGCTAAGTTCTATACTTGGCAGAGTACACTTTATCGGATGTTTTAGAAATTTGTTGATGCAGTTTTTTTTGATTGTTTGACATTATAATCTTTCTCTACTACCAGAGACAATAAGAAAACAATCCTCATCGTTTTTTTTTTATTATAACGCTTTTATTTTTATTTTTATTAGCTTAATATTTTTATGTGTAGGTGATCCATGAATTAGTTAAAGCAATCGTTTGGGGTTTATAGCAGACTTTTTTCCACCGCTTTTGAGGTTTGCGGTAGAAATCATAGGAATCAGTCTTCTGGTCTGAATAATCGAACGCACTCATTACTATATATTCATTAATGTTTTTCGGACAATCAATAAGCGTTTTAGTTCCATCAGATGGATATTGGTGCTTTGGCTTGAAGTCTGGATGGCTTTCAAGAGTGATGGACTTTTCGTCCTTGTGGTTCGTCGTGGTTTCCTTTATTCTCGTCAGAGGTAATTTCTTCACAAACGTCAGTTTCTGAAGCGGGATCTGTTTGTTCAGAACTATCACAAGCAAATTCGCTGCCAGCACCGAAAAATACTTGCATTATTGTGAGAAAAGCATGGGATGCTTTGTGCCATATTTTTCGTATATCGAGCATACCACCATTTTCTCTCAATAATACAAGTATTTTCGGTCAATATTACTATCGGTTAATATTAAGAATTATTTTTCACGTTTTAGTTTGAAGTTCTTTAAAAGCATGTTTTACTTTATTTATTTTTAAATTTTTTCCGTGGCTTAAGTCATGCAAATTTAGGGGTCACTTAGATCCGGAACATTTGAACCAATTCATGTGTGGAATAAATATAACTCACAGCAATATTTCATTACAGTTGAACCAAAAAAAAAAAAATTATAAACAAAATTAATTTCCGAACAGATGTGCAAAATCATATTAGTTTCATCTCCACAGATATGTACACATGTATATACAATACAGCATCTGTTATCAGTAATTCGGGATACTTGAAATGGAGCTTAACTCAATTGTTGGTTCATTAAAAGTACAAAATGATTGTATTTATCAGTGTCTTTGAACAATTTCCGATTTTAAGCACCTGTTCATGTAGCGCTTAGTTGCTGTGGTCAGAAGTTGAATATTTTTTTTTAATTGTATATATATATGTATAATATGTACATATATGCATATTATTACGAAAAGAAAACATATAAAATATTTG